TGTTTGAGAAGAGTTCCATGATACAATGTATCTTTTAATCCACTTTTTATCTCTTTTTTTACTAATTTTCAATAAAAAGTATTATTATTTTTTCCATTGTGAGAAAGTACGTAGAACACTTATAGAAAATTATCAAATTTAGCAAATTTCAATGGCAATACATTTTAATAGACGGAATTCCAAATAAATATTTCAATGTTATGAATTTTATTGAAAAATTACAACGGCAACTCCAACAAAATTGTTAGGTTAGAATTGGTTTTTACTTTAAATTTCTACAACATTTTAGCAGAATACATATTTCCAACTAAAATTTTTGCAATAATAAACCGTAAAAAAATATTGTTAGAATCATGAAATTCAAATTATAAAATTGTTTTTGAAATTATCAAATTCTCCAACGTCTGTTATAACATTAGAATATTAATTGGTAGGACTAGAAAATTTGTACTTAATTATTTTTTCATTGAATTTTCATTTGGTATTTATTTATAGTGGAAATTCGGTAGGTTAATACAACACTTTAAAACACTACATCTAAGAAAATAAATATTTAAATGAGGATGAATAAAACATCTAAGAAAGCGTATAAATCATATGTTTAATAATATGTTTTGCTTAAGGTACCAAAAAAAAAGCATTACGAATTCAACGAGAGCTTATTTTATATCAGGTTTTTTTATTCCCCTAGATCTTATTTATATAATTTTATCATTCCNTCAAATTTCTGCTTCCTCAACAACATTTAATAAGCATGCAAAAATAATTACAAACTCACATGATATATATTGTTAAATAGAGGGGCTAACATTTTGTTAAACTAATATTCGACCTACCTGTGCATTTGCACAGATATAAATAAATTATTGTGAGTCTGTACATATAATGATTAATTATTTTTCTTCACTTTTTTGTAGACCAAATTTATAATTAAAAGAGTTGGAATATTTTTTTTTTTTAAATTGCGTTTATCTGATTGGATGTATTGTATATTTTGGTACGTCTTTTATTTGTGAATTATTTGTTATTTATTTAGGAATTTCAAATATATATTTTATTTTCAAAAAAAAATTTAAATGTAACAACAATAATAACATCTAATCACATTATACGGTCAACACATTATATGGTCAACTGACATTAATCAAAAGTTTAAAATGATTTTTGTAATTTTGAAGTGATAAGTATTAATTATTTAATGATTAAATGAAAGATTAAATACATCAAAATGTAACGATTTTTAGAAGGAAAATTGTTAAATTGCCACATAGGTAAAATTAAATAGATTTTATTAAATTATATTAGCTAGTAATTATATATATATAGATGTAGGTCGATAACACCCATACTTTTTTAATTAACTTTTTCCTTTTTTCTTCCTAATTTCAGCCATCTCAATCATTCTCACATTTGAAACTTTTTAGTACACCTGCTCGAGACGCCACAATTTTGATCTACCTAATCCAATAACAAAGAAAACCAATTCAATTTTGTTATCCTTTTAATTATTTATTTAATTTATCTTAGCACCACCAAGAAACACGATCCCAAAAGACGTCACGTTTTAAATATCCTTGCTTAATTAGCTGCCATTCATTTACACTTTTTCAAGTTAAACAATTAGCAATCTTTGCTTTTAATTAAGAATCTCATTATAGTTTCCTTACATTTAATGTACATGACAACATCTCCAATTTTATCATCTTTTCTCAAAGTGGCCAACTGAGAATTGTCTGCCAATTAAATACCAGAAAACAAAAGAAAAGAAAAAAAAAAAAACATTTTTGTCACTTTTTTAATTAAATATAACAATAATAAAAGTTAAAATTGCATATAATACAATATCAATATGTTATTATCTGATTTTTTGATACATTTTCTTGAAGTATGCAACAATTTACACATAAATTGTTTCAAAATGAAGGTGATGAAGATCGTAATTGTGGAACTTCTATTTAGCACTCATTCTAATATTATCACTTTTTCAATTAATAAATAATAGTTATCCCTACAAAATGACTTGGGATTAGGGCTGCAAATGAACCGAACAGTTCGCGAACAACTTGCAAGCGCTCGAGTCAAAGCTCAACTCGAGCTTGAGTTTGACAGAACTCGAGTCCAGCATGAACTCAAGCCGAGTTGGAGCCCATATTATGCATCATCGAGAGACTCGAGATATGTGCTTAATTACTAAAATACCCCTTATATATTATAATAGTATAGCATAGGTGCTTAATGGTAATTTTACTCTTTCACTTCAAAATTTTCGAGTCGAGCTCGAGAAGTTCGAACAGCTAGAGAAAAATAACCAATAATGCTCAATAAGGCCAATACTCGACTCGGCTCGACTTATTTGCAGCCCTACTTGAGATAAACCTACAAGTTTCTCCTAGGTCTACATTTCTTTTTGACCTAATTAGTATGAAATATACAATAACTGAAATCAAAATTGAAAGTTCAAAAATGCCAAGAATTCACTGTATGCCTGTGCCCATAGATTTTTTTTGGTGGAATTTTTTCCAGAATGATTATTACGCTGACTCATTTTGGAAGACAAAAACGCAACATGGCTCCAAAATCATACGGCACCTGTCAGTGGGATCCTAGATTTGTTCTCTTTTCATTTTTACAAAAAAACAAAAAGAAATAATAATAATAAAAAAATGATCCTATACGAATTTGACTTAGGGAGACCAAGTTTTATAAATAATTATGATTTGTCTATTGTCTGTGATAGTTAGGTTAAGATATGGACCACTTCATAGTGAATATGTCTTCTACTTACATGTGCACGATTTAATATGTGCATCAACTGAATTGACATAAGTAAGATCAGCATATAAAACACAGCAGTGATATGTAACTGAAAAATTAAGAGATCTTTACATGTGTCCACTGGATTGATAATATTTATTTATGCTCGATTATGTAAGTGGTAATTTCTTAATGAAAAATGAAAAGACAATATTGTCCTCCCCTAATGTAAAATGAACTAATGAAAGAAGGCGAGTTAGGTGTCACCAGGTGGGTTGTAATTGTCTTCGATTTTGACCCCAAAAGCCAATTCTCCTGTCAAAGCAAACCAAGTCCTTTTCCTCGCGAAGTTCTAACTAATAGGTCAATGGTCATTGTTAATTCGCTCTCAAGTCTGATTTTGCTATTTTTTATTTTCTTTATATGTAATAATTAAGTAGTTTTATTTTATTATCGCATCTGAAACATTTATGCGAAGTTTTGATCGATGATTCAAGACACGGTCTACCCTATTGGCTTAACTCATAACAAATAAGATGAGATTGTACTTCGTACTGAGTCACTCGTTTATAATTCGATCTATAAATGGATGACCCCTATTGAGTTGACTCAGAACCCAGCTAGAAATTGAGAGTGCATCTCGACCCAAGTCACTTATTTGTAGCCGACCTGAAAATGACAGGTTCCTGTCAGATTGATTCAAAATCCAACAAATTGTGAGTTAGCCCGAGTTAAGTCACTTGTTTGGAACCCAACCTAAAGTAGAACATACATTTCCAATTAGGAATTTTGAGAGATTAGGCTTGGTAAGATTGATCATTTAACCAAATTGAGAAATAGGAATTAATACTTTCAATTTCAAACACCAACCCTCCTAAATGGGAAAATTGAGTTGATATAATATTTTTCACATGAAAAACTTTTTCAATGTTAGTGCATTTCAAAGCCCTCTCTCGAGTCTCTTCCTGTCAATTTCAAGTCACTTGAATTGGTCTCTATCAGACTATCACTACCTCAAAGGCCAAAAAGCCTGTTTTGTTGTGGGCCACTCATATGGGCCGGCCTCATGAATTTGTCACACCAACACGAATCCTCAACAGTGCCCTTCAGCCACGTCATGCGCATAACATCTGAAAAATGCAGTATATAATTTTCTGATTTCATTTTTTTCATAGAAAAATTCCGTTATTAATTCGTTAATTATCCTGATTACATGCCACATGTTCGGAAAAAATATTCGAACTAAACTATATATATGCCACGAAAAAAGTAAAAATTTAGCTAGTTAACTGAACATATTGTGGGCGGTGCTGTGTTCCCTTAACAGGGCTGCAGTCCGGGTAGAATTCTACATAATCATTTATTTACATTCCAAATGATTTGTTTTTTTATGTTTTAGCCTATATCCCAAATAATTGAGAATATAAAGTAAATATACATTATCATTCTATCCTATTTCATAAATCATGTTTGAACTAATCACTTTTAATTAATAATAATATATTGTATAAGGTTGTTTATTGAAAGTGATGTAGGGAAGCGAGTGAGACAATATTAATGAGATCGCAATCTCAAAAACACTAAAATACTATATAATTCATCTTTTATTCATAATCAACTAAAACAATAGACGAGGAGTCTTTTAAATAAGACTCCTAAACTCTATTCCTAACTTGTCCAACAAGACAAGATCTCTTATAATAATATTTAATTACTAACTTATTCTCCAAGATAATAATAATAATAATAATAATAATAATAATAATAATAATAATAATAATACTCTACACCACAAAGTTATACTTAAAAATATAAAAATAAAATAGAAGTTTTTGTTTATATAATTGAATAAGCTTTAATTTTTTTATTTAAAATAAGTTTCAACAAATGTAAGATTTGTTCGTTCCATATCATAATAGTATCTCCGATTTATTTCATGTAATAGGCATGATAAATAAGTTTAATTAATAATAAATAAATTAATCTAAAAAAATAAAGTTGTTTATTATAATTACTATTATCACAAAATGTTTAATTTATACGTGATTCTTAGATATATTTTGTCAATATACCTTCTAGACCGGGTTGGGTTTAAATCCTAGCTCCGCCCTTATTATTGTCCTAAAGAAATCTAATAATTCGTAGATAATAGAGGGAAAAAAAAATCAAATCAAACAACTAGCATCGAAAAGTCATATTAATTACACATACTAACGTATTACACAAATAAAATAAAATAAAGAAAATCAAACATCCTCACTCCTTCGAACAGCCTGCTTCGCTATGTGGGTCGGGCCGATCTGACCCGGCATGATAACAACTACTCGGGGCTCCATTTCAAACCCAAAAGCACGTGAGGCCTCACGCGACTTTCCATCACTCGAGACCTGTTCCGAAGTCTTCGTAAACGCGTGGGCCACAATCACCACTATAGCTATGGGAATCACCCCTAGCATGAGGGCCACGCCGCCACCAATGAACATCAACGACGAATTCCACCACCGAGTCCCGCCGGCGCCGGCGGCGGCAGCTGGGGCGGCGGCAGGCGGCTGGACTTTCGAGCTCATATATATTTAAAAAAAAAAAGAATATGATTTTCGACACTCTGTTTAGGCTTTCCTATTGTCTTTTTCTGGTGGTATTTATTTTTTGTTCTAAGAGTGTGTGTACATATATATAGATATGAAGGGAAACGGAGTACGGAAACATTAAAAAGGCCCAAAAGGGCAGAAATAGAAATGATGAATTGTTGCATTGCTAAATAATTGCTGCAATTTTCTTGATTAAATAGATTTCCATATTCGCCCCTTTTGCCTACCTGATTTTCTTAATTGAAAAAAATTTCCACTTTGTTCGATCAACAATCATTGCGTCCAGAATTTGGCTCTGGTATATGTGTATGGCTAAATTAGGATGATTTAGATAATACTAAAACATGTTATACCTAATTAGAAAAGCTTCATCGTGGACTCATTTTTTTAGCTAAATTATGATGGTTTAAATAATACCAAACATATCAATTATAGCTAATTAGAAAAGCTTGATAACGAAGTCTTCGCTGTCTAAGGGTTACCCACACATAAATATTCCAATAAATAATACACATGCTGTTATTTTCTAATGTCATGCTATTAAATATAATACAAATACGCAGTAACATGTTTTGTAGTATAAACCTGCATTTTTTTGTAAGTATGATTGCCTTTAAGGATAGACAACCTAACAGCCTCGGCGTCGGAATCCGGCGACGTCGGCGGCGATGGAAAGCTCTCGTCGAGACGGTCGTCTGGGTATACTGTGTGAGACTACACTCGTTTTGTCCCCGTTTGACAATTATTATTATTATTATTATTATTATTATTATTATTATTATTATTATTATGATCATCATCGTGTTTGTATTTTTATTTTATATTAAAAATGAATAAATTTACACATCTCCAAAGTTGAAATTGAGATTCAATGTTTCAATAATAAGCGTCAATAATAAAATTTGAAGAAAAAACTGTAACAATTGCTACTAGGCAATCGTGCTGAAAATTTGGTAGAAGGGAGGAAAATGGAATTAGTTAGGAAAAAGTATATTCTGATTATTATTCTATGCTTTTAAATTACATTTTGGAATGGAAAATTCCGATTAATGCAGTTTATTCTGTTCTTAATGCATGATGGCTTTACTCCTTTGTACTGCCAACTCCTCGCATTTTATGTGGCTCATAATTTAACTGCTGACAGTGCAAATCAAATCAAAGTACCGAACCTTAGCCGGAAATAAGAAAAAAGATTTTTGTTTTTTCAATTTTTAATTCCATATAAGAGTTCCGCATTTAAATTTTATCTTTTTGTTCAAGTATGTCGACCCTCCACCAAAAATTAATTTAATAAATAAAGGTTACATGTAAGGAATTTTTTTTTTATCTAATATTAATGTATTTGTGTATATTATAGATGGTAAAAGGTAGGCAAACTTCAAAATAATAATAATAATGAGTTTGTGATGTAGGGAAAGCGTACGAATGGGAAAGATAAACAAACGAGATACTCTCTCGATAAAACTCACAATCTCATTTTTCATTCAATAATCAACTAATGAAAAAAAACTAGGGGGAGTCCTTTATATAAGGCTCCTAACCGTAGACCTAACTTGTCCAACAAGACAAGAACTCTTATTAAATATTAAACAATTCCTAACTTATTCTCCAAGATAACTAATAATAATAATAATAATAATCTAATTATTCTGCATCATTCTCCTCCGGTTGAGCATGATTCGCCCTCGAATCCGACCCGTTCCCGTGGGAGACGTTCGCAACACAGCAACAACCCAAACGTTTCCCCCGATCGAACACGAAGGTTGAAAGTCGTCCAACAATCTCGAAGGTAAACATAATCTCGGTCAAGGATTCAACTGCCGCAAAGTAATTTTTATTCCCAGCCTCTGTTCCTTTTTCTATTCCCAGTAATTTTTAACAATTATTTATTATTACTTTCTATATGGACCATACGAAGCTGGTGTTGGTGTTTGGATGAGTTTATGAATAAATTTTTGTTTTCATTATACAACTTCACATAATTTATAATGTGTCAATAAATATTTATCCAGCCCACTGTTAAAAATATGGAATTTCACATTAATATTCAATTTGGTATGACAAGAGTACTATAACTTGTTCTAATATTGTCCTATCTTTCTAAATTTGACTATTTAATTGAGCTGACTAACAATGAATTTATATGTAAAAATAATACAGAGTCCTTAATGTTTCTTATCTTTATGTGACAATTTATATGCACTTCAAAATAAACCATTATGCGGGTATTATATTCCTATTAGTAATTTAGTATACTATTACTACCATTTTATTTTTTGTCATAAACCCACCTTATAAAAAATTTAAAAACAACAAAAAAAATAAAAAAATTTAAATGTGAAATCTGAGTTGGAGGATAAGTATGAACAAACCCAAAGATTCAAGCTGTGATGTTACTGGACTTGGTATCCTATATGTGTCCTCTCAATAGTCTTAGATTTATAAAAAAATAAGTATAAAGTAAAGTAAAGTAAAAGCACCCTTATTTTTTAAGGTATTATTATAATTATTTATATCTTCATTTTAAATAATGGTTAGCAACTTATAGCATAAAGTATAAACCCACACTACGGGTTTGTAAACATACATATGGGCTCCATTTACGTTTGAAAGTTGAGTGAATTGACTTGAAATTTATTAGTATGAATGTATGATCACCATTTTCCAATTGACATTGGGGTTTTCCTATTATAATGGTTGAATGTTGTCCTGATGTTATCAAAATGCTAATTCAATCTGCTTGCCTTTCTGGATAAAATAATAGTATTATTTCAAGAAGTTATACATTGAAATATTTGTTGAAATTTATAATATACTACTATTGAATTTTTCGATGGACTATGATATATTTTATTTATTTTTTCTTGCAGCGAAAATTCTAGGAGCATATCAAGAGTAAGTCACATCAAAATCAAATATACTAATAATCCTCCTTCTATTTACATATAATTTTATAATGCGCTGAGCCTAAGCGTCAGTTTCGCACGCTTCGTAATCATATGTGATAAAATATTACGTTTTGTAATATGACTCGGATAAGAATTGCTATTTTTTATATCAAAAAACTTAGGTTTAGATTACCATAAATACACATATTTAATAGATTTAAACTATTCAATATAAATCATTCTATTATCTTCTTTCTATAATATACATATCATTTCACTTTCTAAATTTTGTTTTGTCCATATTATTCTCTTATATGTTTTAAATAAATTTTTAATTTATAAAACTAATAATTCATATAAATTAATTTTCATAATTTAAATAATATTGTTAATTCATTAGTTCTTTATTATAAATTGTTATATGTTGTTCCTTATTTATTTTATCCAACTTCAATAATTATACAAATATTTTTTTTCTTATATTTTTATTTTTTACATTTAGTTATTTTATCAAACACTCATATCGTAAACGGGTATAGTTGCCATATAATTTTAAAATTGACTAATTCGAGGACAAAGTTATTGAAAATTCTAATCTTGGAATAAAAATAAATAGAATATACGCTCGTGACACTGCAATTTTTCTGCCGAATTTTGAAATTGACCAAATTGAGAACAATTTTTTGCCGTAAAATCTTAATTTTAAGTTCTAACAATAGATTTAATGGGCCAACCTTTTATCAATCAGATGGGCCTTGGAAGTGGCTAGGAGCAAAGGATGGGAAAGGGTTGGCTACTGTCTGACTCTAGCTGCTTGGATTCTAGATTGAATGCATGCCTTGGGTCTAAGGGCTTTTATAATCTTGGTTGTTTATTGTGGATGATATTTGTATGCTTAAAAACATTAGTAGTAGATGAGTTGTGTTCATTATCATAATCACCATTATTAATAATAATCATAAGAGGGATTAGTAGCTCTAGAACCAATAACAACATATGATTGCTCGTGGCTAAAAAATACAATATATATTTTTTCATAAAAGTTTAAAAAATTAATTCATTAAGCTTGCAAAAATATTTGTGAGATACGATGGAAAAATTTATTGATTGGTCGAAAAAAGTATGTAATTAATATATTTATTAACGTATTTTTATAGCACTTAATTTTATCGCACTTATATATTTTTCGATTTATTTATTTTTAAGATATTAAAGTATTTTTATGGACGATTACGTCGTAGGAAGATTGAAACATATAGCATGGGGGTGCCCCAAACCCGGTCCAATATATGCCATAATTTGGGCCTGAATTTTATATAATAAAGGCCCACATACATTGAATATTTTTGGAGCCACTAACGCCATTAAGCCAACAGAGCCCAATTTGAGTTACCAACTTAATAGAGGAGACTAATGTCAACTTTGACCAAAGAAAAATAAAAGAAAATTTAAATGCTGAAAAAGTAAAATAAAAGACAGAAATGGTGAACTGCAGTGAAACGTAAAAAAAAAAAAAAACCCTAACCGCCTAGGGACTAAATCCGATCAAATGGATGGAAATGGTGTGGTATTTTGTAGATGTGAGCTGGTTGCAAAGTTGACTACATGCTGGAAGGATGATAATCTCGGGAGAAGATTCTTGAGTTGCCCTCTATATCCTGTAAGTACTTTCTGTGAACTTCAATTGGAATATGATAAGAAATGGTTAAAAAACAGAGGGTTGATAAGTGCAATTTTTTTCGATGGCATGACCCGGAAATGGGTGCAAGAGCATTAGCTGTGATTCCAGGCTTGCTCCGCAGCGCGAATGCTAGGGAAATAGAAATCAGACGAGCAAAAATTTTAATTTAATTTAGTGCGATTTCTTGTTTTAGTTTAATTTTTTATTAATATATTTTCAGCATTTAAATTTTCTTTTATTTTTCTTTGGTCAAAGTTGACATTAATCAACAAATTTTAACAAAAATAAAGAACATCACAGTCGAGCAAAAATGGACCGTTAATTCACAGAAATTGAGGTAAAGGGATTACATTTTTTTGTTTTATGGACTAAAATTGGGCACCAAAACATAATAGGGACTCATTTTT